GCCCTCCGCCCCTCTCCGCCCGCTGCTGGGCCGCCAGCCGCCTGGGCGATCCGGGCAGGGCCCCTCCCGTCGGGGCGGTCAGGGGACCCGCGCGGAGCAGAGGCCGGGCAGGTTTCGGGATCCTGTGAGTGGTGGCGCCCAGGCCTGTCCACCCTCAGCCAGAAGCAGGACTTGCCCAGGAGGGCCAGGCTCGCAGGGAGCAGGAGTTGGGCATCGCCTGCAGCACAGGCGCCACTCTCCGCCGCCTGGGCCTGTGGACTTTGGCAGGAGCAGCTCCGACATAGGGGCCCCAGCCCCCAGCTGCCCCGTCCTCCTCCTGTCAGCAGCAGGGGCTGCCTGTGCCCTCTTGGGCCTCAGGCCAGGCCTGCTGGGTGGAGCCTAGCGTCAGGCTCTGGGCTTTGTGGCTCTTAGCACAGGGCACCTGGAACCAGGGCTGTGGGGGGAGCCAGCGGCTGATTCCCCACAGAGCTGCCCCTCCGGGGCCTGCCCTGCAGCAGTTGCCCCTGGAGCCGGGGGCAGGCAGCCGTGATGGGCCCGGGGTGGGCCTCCGGGAGCCTGTGCCTCAGCCCCACGCCCATCTGATCTTGCAGGTGCAGCCAGTATGGGGGAGCCCCAGGGTTCCATGCGGATTCTAGTGACGGGCGGCTCTGGGCTGGTGGGCAGAGCCATCCAGAAGGTGGTGGCGGATGGGGCCGGGCTGCCTGGAGAAGAGTGGGTGTTTGTTTCCTCTAAGGATGCTGACCTCACGTGAGTAGCCACCGGGCACCCTGCGGGCAGCCTGTCGCCGAGCCTGTAGCCACGTGTCCTTGCCCTCCCCGCCAGGTGGCTGGCATAGCCTGAGCGGCGTGGCTCAGCTCGGGCAAACACCCTCCCAGTTCTTCCTGGAAGCCCACACCCGCCTGCCAGCCAGGACCTGCGCAGGCTGTCCCCCGGGGCAGCCCCTGCCGCTGTCCTGCCCCGGAGCTCTGCCCTCAGGCGCAGGCCCCGGCCGCGCGGCTCCTCACGGCCTGACTTCCCCAGGGACGCTGCGCAGACCCGAGCCCTGTTTGAGAGGGTCCGGCCCACGCACGTCATCCACCTTGCCGCAATGGTGGGCGGCCTGTTCCGGAACATCAAATACAACCTGGACTTCTGGGTGAGAGACCACAGAGCACCGGGCCCCCGGCGTCTGGAACTCGCCGACCAGCCCCACCAGTAGCGGGAGCCCCACTTCGTCCCCAGGGCTCTTTGGGGCCCAGGTCCCCTTCCATCCTACCATTGTCACCTGCCCTCGCCAGAGGTCCTCAGAGCTGTGGACCTGCCCTCCAGGGCCCTCAGAACGCCTGCAGCCTGGGGTAGGGTGCAAGCCCTGTTGTCTGGGGCGGGGCAGAGGTTTCTGGAAGGGCGGCCCAGGGGGCTTCGCCTTGCCCAGGAAACAGTTAGGACCTGCAGACGCAGGTGCCACTGGTGTCGGGGGAGCCAGGCTGCGTCTACTTCTGTCCCTGAGGCTGGGGTCCTGGAGAGGCCTGACCCTGCCGGTCCCCGCAGAGAGAAAATGTGCACATCAACGACAATGTCCTGCATGCCGCCTTCGAGGGGGGCGCACGCAAGGTGGTGTCCTGCCTGTCCACCTGCATCTTCCCAGACAAGACCACCTACCCCATCGATGAGAC